CCACCTAAGCAGGCAACACGTGAGTCAGATTGCTTGCTCTGGCAGGATGGAGAGTCATGAGCTTTGTAATGACAAAGCGAGTGCGAGAGCTCTACTTTAGGAATGCCAGCTATTCAAACCTATCTATTCAGGAGCTGAAAAGTCACCAGTTAAACATCAGCTAAACACCTGCTTAAAATTCACCTATGACTAACACAATATGATCATACAGTTACATAGGGAGTGCATGAATATTTTTACTAGCCACAGCAGTTGGACAATGGCATGCAGCTCCTGTGAAGAGACAGAGCTTAGTTGAAGAGGAAATACAACAGATCAGAGAAAGTCCCATCACATGCCGTATGCTCGCCACACTTGTCCAGAGCACATCACTGCTTATTGCCTGGACTCAGGACTTAATACCTTGTAAGAATACTGGCAATCTCAGAAGAATCTTTTTGGCTGCTCTCTAAATTACCCTACAGTTAGCAGTTCAGTAACTTACACACACAAGACTGAGGAACCTTTTAGTGGTTTAAGTTTTTCACACTCATTTCTTTCAGCTCTGATTCCAACACTAAAAGCCTTGGCTGTGGAACACCTCCCAAAGCACAATTTAAAATTCAGATAGGAAAAAAAATACCTTCATCACTAGTGGCAAACAGACAAACATGTCATTTCACCCCTCCATGCAAAAAGCCATCAGAGGAGAGTGACTAAGTACTCTAAAAACCCACATCTCCCTTGACTGCCATTTGGCATGCTTAAGCAGCATAACATTAATGACAGAATTTAGGACTATCACAGGAAAATGCTTCCTGACACCCTTTCAGATACAAAAACAGGAAATCTAATCTTCCTTAGGAAAATGAGTTTTGAAAAAATCTCAGGAGTGCTCATTTGTATTCTCTCACATCTTTAAATATACATAACAGTGTGATATTTTGACATGACACCTTGACAGGCAAAAGGTTTCTGCAGCAGTATTACTCACAGGAACACCTCTCACACCTCACTTACTCCTACCATAAAAGAATCTTCTCTTGTCTGTTCCAACACATGTACTTTGGGGTTTTTTACAGTTCCTTTGTAAAAGGATCAGATTGGTCACAGGCTCTTACAGGAGCCTTAAGGCAAAAAATACTTTATACAAGAAATGCCAAGAATGTATCTACCATTAGACCACAATCTCAGCTTTTAGGATGCAGTTCCAGTGGTGTCCCAATTTCACAAGTTCCCTCTCGCACCATATCGTCATTGAGGAAGTTTTCCAAGGAATTTTGCCATCACTAATAACAGTGCAAAGTCAGTGATGATGCAAATACATGACAGCTCTACTGAACACTGTGCTTTGAAAGATGACAGCTGACACAACGAGCTCTTTCATCTGCAGCTATTTTTAAACCTCTTTAGACCTGAATTTCAGCATTAGAAATAAGCAGAGACTGTTGCTAGAGATGCATGAAGAAAACAGGTACTGGAATTTATGAAGCCATTTTTAATCTTTGAGGAAACTCACAGCTATACCACTTATCATTCCCTTAAGTAAAACATTATTTTGCTGAAGTCAGAAATAACACTGGCTTAATGAAGCACTGCCAATCACAAATAATACCTCCACACAAACCTAAATACCCTATACTGATGTTTCCAGGAAATCACATGCAGCCCACGAGGTTTAGACAATATCCTTTAAGCTGCGAGGCAATTTCAAAATTAATCTAATTGACTTTACTGACTCACATTGGTAAACAGGAGACAAACCTGGACTTCTGCTCTCTTACCAGCACACAAGAAATTATGTGTACAGTAACCAATATACCATATACTCAGCTCACCAGTTTGTACTTTTATTTCCCATAATTCTTCAAGATGGTACAAAAGAGACAGCAGAAAATGAAACAGAGGCTACCAACAGCCAGTTTTACTTCATGTCTGGTGCGGCAGTAAACACCTTGTGCTACACTATATTAAAACTAAAGAAGAGGGGGAAAAAAAAGAATCACAGTGTTTGTATAGCACATTGCTACTCACAATCACCTCCTTCAAAAACATCATCTCATTCTTCAGTTGCAATAATTTCTCCCTGGAAAGCAGGAGGAGCTGACACAGCAACACAGTAAACCAAATACTTTACATTCTTGCTTTTCTGACTTTAGGCTTTATTCATGACTTAGGCAAAGAGAAAAGAAATATTACCATATTATAAAAAAAACATAACTGACATCCATTTTATCACCATTTCCCTCCTTGCAACACTGAGCAATGTCACAAATAATTATAAATGACAATTTTATAGAGCTCTTGTCAAACCCTGGGCATCACAATGTGAAGGAGTCTCAGAGCAACGCTGGGCAGTGCATATGGGTGCTAACATCAAGAAAAGCACTAGAATTCTTACTGTCAAGGACAGCTACTTGGCTGGCTGAAGACCACTTCCTCGGTATTGGGACTAATTCAGCACGTTACAATTAAACCAAGACCTTCCTGTCACTCAAAACACAAAGCACATGGACAGTGCCTATTCTCAAGTGTGAGATCTTTACAGACGAATCTAGCATGACCAAAAATACTTCTTACTTACGTTTCAACCCAGAGGTCTTCTCCCCAGGGAGATGCATCTGCTTACAGAGAAATAAACTACCTTTAAGAAGACTGCCATAGCAAAGCGCATCTCTCGAGTGGTAAACTGTCCTCGTAGCATCGGTAAAACTTTTCTGTTCATCTTTCTGACCGAACATTTAAAAACGATACTATTTCTGCCAGGGTTTCATGAACAGCAAAGTATCACAGCAGCTCCCCTCAGCCGCCACTCCCCCACTCTAAGCAACAAGAGCTAGGACGGAGTTTCCCTGCCCTCCCTGCAGCAGCCCTTCCTCTCCCCGCCTAGGCACGCCCGTTGTGAACACGAACCCGGTGCAGGCAGTACCCCGGCTTCGGCGGGCTGCCTGCCGACGTGCGGAATGCCGCTGCAGGGCCGCGGTGCACAGGCAGCACACGGGCACGACCCACTGACCCGCTTATCGCGTTACTGCCCCGCCCGCCCAGCAGCACCCCCTGGAACCGGGAGCCCCCAAGCGGGAAGCGCCACCCCGCAGGGCCGGCTCCGCTCCCGAGCGAGGACGCGCTGCAGGGGACCGCCGCTGCTGCCTCACCAGCACTGAGGCCCCGCGGGGCTCAGCGCGGCTCTCACCCATGCTCATCTTCGTCGCGGGCCGAGCTGACCCGTCGCGCCCCGGAGGCCGCTCCATCCACCTGTGCTTTGCTGCTGTTCTTCTTGAGGATGCCCTTGATGGGCGCGCTGTCCGCCGAGCCCGACGCTGAGCGGCCTGACGCCGAAGCGCCCGACTCCGAAGACTCGTCCATCGCCCCTCCGCCCGACACCTTCCGGCCTCCTCTGCCGCCGCTGCCTCCGCCTCAACTAACACCTCCTCACCGCGCGTCAGAACGGCCGGCGCGGGAAAGAGGCCCTGTGCCGCCACCTCAGCCCGCCGGGGCCGCGCCCCCTGGCGGCAGGAGGACCGCCATACCCCTTCCTCCGGGATGCTGTGCGCATGCGCGAGCGTGGCTGCCAGCGGTGCTGGTTCCTGGGCGCCCGCGGAGCCCCCGTGCGCACGTCCGCTAGGAGGGCTGCTGGCGGCGGCTGCAGCGCTCCGGTTTCCCGGCAGCGTGCACCCGTTCCGGTGCTCCCTCCCTGGGGTTTCCCGCCGCAGGGCTCCCATCGCCGAGAGCCGGGCAGCAGGAGGCTGTGCAGCAGCGGTGAACTGACCTGCGCCAAAATCCCGAGGCCTCTGGCAGCCCCCGTGCAGCTGTCAGCGTCCCTGAGGGTCCCTCCGGCACCCGTACAGCCGGGGTGCGAGTAGAGTGTTTGATTTCGTGGCACAGGCGCTGTGCCGTTAGGATTTAAACCTTTTAACAGGGATAAGGGCTCGAACGTGGCAGTTGTTTCCGGTGTTCACAGGGCCTCCCTCCCACCTCAGCCTCGTCCAAGTGGTGAAGATGATGGGAACACTGGCTCTCTGCTCAGCTCCCTTAGCTCTCAGGCCACTGAAGTACTTTGCTGCACATCCATGCCAATAAGGGTCCCACCACAATAAGTGTGGAACATTCCCTGCATGTTTAGAGTAAGCTACATCTACATCATTGCTTTTCATGTCAGTAAAAGCAGCAAGAGAGGGGGGTCACTGGCCCCAAAGCCACAATGCTGGCACAGCTCAGGCAGTGGCGGAAGCCCGCGCATCCAACCCCAGAGAGCTGGAAAGACCTCCAGGCTCCTGAGGCAAACCATCTAACTTCAGACATGGTTTCTTACACAGCACTGCATTCCTGGTCTGGTGGTGCTGTGGCCTCAGATGAGGGGCAGACCCCCCACACCAAACCCCTTGGCCCCTTGGAACAGTCATGCAGCTGGGAAGTACAAAAGCTCCAAAGCAGATGTTTTAATTTCATTTTTAATGAGCTGCATCAGTGCTATTCAAGCAGAGTTGTCGCGGTGCCTGGTGGACACCTGCCAGGGCAGATGCAGGGCAGATGCAGTGCCAGCGGGCACTCAGCGCATACAAAAGCGGTAAGCAGGACATCAGGCAGAGCCTGCTGTCTCTTCGTGTTCAGGGAAAAGCTTCCAGAAGAGAGGACAGTGGAGCAGCCCTATCTCTGTCTTCTTATGAGCACCCTCAGAGCTGACCCCTTGGGTGTGCAGGACCAGCCTCACTAAAGGTGGGAGAGGACACATACAAACACTGGGGATGGAGCGATGCTGAATTTCTGGACATTTTTAGGCTTTAAATACAAAGGGACAGATCTGATTCCTAGTCAGGAGGCCTGTTGATGTGGCAGCAACATATGCCTGGAGGCCTGCACCAGAAGACACTCAAGACCACAGTCTAAGTTCAAGTCTGCAGGACTGGCACACTGTTTGGATGCCGTCCCTGGTAAGGCAATGCCTGCGGTGTAGCTCAGACACCAAAGACTCGCAGCAAGCCCAGAAGCATCAAGACAAAAATGGAAAACAAACCTGGGGCTGTGCGATGAAAGGTTTTTCATGGGATTAATACTTGTACATCATGTCTCATACCCTTTCCCTTCCACACAGAGGAGAACTCACAGCAACAGCAGAGCTTCACATTTGCACTTCAGAGTTTCTTTTCTTCACCCATTAGCTTTGAATCAGTCAGTTACTCTGTGAAAGAGTGAGAAAAAAAGGGAAAGAGCGACAGAACAACAGCAAAGCGTAACTCAAGGCTGGCAAACTACCGTTAGCAAGGGATTACATTTCTCTGTTACATAGAGAAATTCTAATGGATAATACAGGAAGCAACAAAGTTCATCACTGGTCTGGTGCTGTGTCACTGCATGCCGGAGTTACATCTCAGAAGGGCAGTTAAGTTGATCCGTGGGCATCATTTTCTCAGTGTCGATCTTGTAGGACTGGAGAACACTCTTCAGGTGCTCCACGGTTTCTGGGTGCATGTCTGGAGCTCTTGATAAAATCCAGGCATAGTCCATGTGGAAGAGCCAGAGAATGTTGGTGCAGGAGTAAACCAGAGAGTAGTTTTCATAGTCAGTGGAGATGACCCAGTAAGGGGCTGAAGGCATGACTAGGAGAAAGAAGAGCACCGTGAATGTGATGCATAGCTGACTCTGCACTGCTCTGCAGCACTAAAGCCACAGCTCCTGGTGCTGTTCCTGCTTTGGCTGCTCCTGAGCCATATAACTATGTTCAGTATAGGGAGCTATAATTTATGAAAGCCTAAAATAAAAGCCTATCAGGACTCCTTGTTCTGTCCAGCAGGGCTCAAGAAAACCACAAAGCCCTGGCTAGGAAGGTCTTGCTGGAAAGTTAACACTGCCCTGATCAGCTCATCCAGGCCACCAAAAGCCAGCCCAGCTTGCACCCATTTGAGGGTGCTTGCTGTAGAGCTGGGAGCTGACACTGGTAATCTGAGGAGCACAAACCAGCACCTCTCTCCACATCATCCACTGCCCCAGGGTGCTCTGCTCATAGAGCCAGCTGGAACCCAGGCAGTGGAAATCAGTATGGTCCAGTCCATCCCACCAGCACCAGCCACCTGGAACAGATCCTGTTCTCCATGAGGCTGCTATGCTCGAAGCATTTGCTCCAGTGGGGAACAGCCACTTTCCTTCAAACCATCAGGCACAAAGCAGAGGTGGGTCCAGTAGGCAGGCAATATTTGTTTCTGATGCACTTAGGGGTGCAAAGTGCTGTTTTCTCCATGCTCATATCCTGTAAGGATGGTTGGGGTTGCACATGTTGTGGCTGAAACGGCTGCAGGTGATGCCTTAGTGGTGCATAATTAAGACTGGCTGTGCTCATTAACAGTAATTGTATCTCCTTTGCAAGTGCCCTGCTCCACCCATTTCTCCAAATAACCTTTGTGTGTGAGTGCTACGAAATAGCCAAGGAAAAGGTGTGAAGGAGCAGAATAAAAAGGGAGCCAAGGCAAGGCTTCTGCTCACTTTCCAAAATGTTGCTGCAAAGTGCTGTGCAATGGGAATAAAACCCACTGCACCTCAGCAGGCCTGTCATGTATTACCTTGACAAGGGAAGCAAATAGAGTCATATTATTAATGGTTATTAAAAGGCACTTGTAAGCAGAGGCAGGGTGGGCTAGAAGCTATACCACTATATTCAGAAAAACAAGCCTATTGCTGACCCTTGTTGCAGCTCCCCCATCTCTCCCCTCCCAGTCCCCATCTGTGAAGTGACCTGAAGAGACACTAATGCTGATGGTACTTCTTGCTTTGACATCAGCTGGTGAAGACTGCTCCATCACTGTGACGGTAAATGATGTATAAATGTCACCAGACCACTGTGAGCCTCCCATCCACACACTTACACCAGTTAAAGCGGACACCCAGCTTGGCCGGCTCCTTTACATCCATGTGCATGATTTCTCCTTCAACCTCATTGACTTTGCCATTGGAGCTAAGGGGAGAATGACAGGGTGAGAAATTAAAAACTTTGAAATCACTTATTTTTTTCCTCTGCTACATAATCCCTTGTAGTGCATCCACCTGCCAAGAGGAGGCCAGCTAACCACAGCATCCCTGTAGGGACAGCTCAACCCTGGGGATGGTTTCAGCAGCACCCTGGGCACACCAGGTCCTGGCCCAGGCACAGCAAGGGATATGCCCTCCCAGGTTAAAGCACTCCAGCGCCCCAGAGTGCCTCTCTCCAAGTGCCCTGCCACTGAGGAGTACTTCAGTGCCAGTGGAACAATGAGAGAGAACAGAGAGAGCAAGATACCTCTGCAGGATGGGAGGATCCCATCACCCATGTGCTGGATGTGCCAGGAAGCAGCTCAGCTTTTGCTAGCCATGGAAGGCATGTGCTCACCTCTGCTTAATCACCTGGAATTTTCCCATGGCACAGCACATTCCTGCACACACACATTACCTGTCCCTGCTTGGTAAGCCAGGATTTGTTTCACTGCTGGTTCACAGCAGTGCCCTGCTGGCAACAAGCGCTCGGACTCCCTATCTTATAATTGCATCTTTCCCTGGCTGTCTCAAGACCTGGATGCTGTCTGTGGGGCAGGAAAGTTTTGTGCTTCCCTATGAAACTGGAACACCTGAAGAGGCAGAAGCTAATGCTGCCAGCAGCAGAGGTCATGGGGCTGATGCTGGGCCATGCACAGTGCATACCTGAACCAAAATATTCAGGGTCCTGAGCTGCTGCAGTGGTGCCACCACCGATCAGATTGATCTCCCACAGATCAATGCAGGCACAGATCAATGTCCAGCTGTTTGACCAGCTCTGCCCTAGCAGTGGAGCTGCAAAGACAGTGCTGCGCAGTCAGTGAGCAGCATGGACTCTGTTCTCTGCCAGACACAAGGGATTTATGGCTGTGTTGTTGTCATTGTGAGCCAGAACAAAGTCCCCATGCCATGCCAGGGAGCACAGGGGACAGCGCTGCGTTCACTGCTCACTCCCTCCCTCTCATTCATTCAGCTGCTCAGAGCAGCACCAGCTGGGGATGGTGGTAGAAACAGATTAATTAATATCTGCATCTGTTCATGCAGAAAGCCAGGAGGGCTCGAGGTAATTGCAAACCATCACGTATAATAATGGGAACAATCAGTCCATTAGCTTTGCTCACTGATTGAAACTGGCAACAATTGCTGATCCCCTTACACAGCAGTTACTACCAGTACAAAGTAAATGCTCCAGAAAAAGGCTCATAAATATTTGCTTAAGTAAAAATGACATGTGTGCTTCACCTTCCCTGCCCCTTTTCATCAGGTCCCTTTACTCTGGAGCACAGAGCACAGGGGCACAAGGTGCTGGCTGCCGTACCCATACACAGCCCTATGACCCTCTCCAGGATAGGGGCATCCAGCTTCCCAGCCATCACTGGGGATCAGAAACCAATCAGGAGGAGACCCGGGCTATTTCACGCTGGAGTCACCATGTGCATGTGATCTGTTTTCTCACAACTCACCTTGGATAACAAGACAAGAGACCTGGTGAGCCCCAGGGAAGCAATGGCAGAAACCAGAGACCTGCATCTCTGCTGTAACCGCAGCAAAGCCCATTATCCCAGCAAAGCTAGCACAACCACAGACCAGAAACAGGCAATTTGGAGACAGGACAGGAGTGTCCACTGCAGGGAGGACACAGCCCGAATGCAAACACTTACAGCAACTCCTTGTTGATCACCTTGAACTTCCCATTTTCCTTCAGTGAGTAATTAGCCTGGATGCAGCTTCCTTTCTCGAAACCTGAGGGCAGCTTCTCTATCTCGTACCATTTGCCTAAATACTGATAGAAGAAAGCCCAAAGAGATGCTTTTAGCATGAGAGGACTGAGGCAGAGCGCCCTGCCTTGTTTGCCAGTACAGTTTTGTATGCTTAGTTCGAGTCTCCCCCTCTGTCGCGCAGGAGGCTGTGGGGGTTAGCAGGGTCTCATACCTGTGCTGGCAGCTCCAGCACGAGGTAGCAAGACCAGACCTGGCCACCTTCCCATGACCCAGGCACTTTGCCATCCATCCCATGCCCCTTTAGCCTAACTCACTGCCTGCCCTGAGACTTCTAGAAACCTTTTCACACCTGGTTGATATCGAAGTCTTCTTGGACTGCTGGGTCTGGGCATGGTCCCATGTGAAACATCTGGCATTTCCCAAAGCCAAGGAGGCTGAACAGGACCGAGAGCCGCACTGCTGTGGCCAGCATGGCTGCACCAGGATGCAGGCAGGAAATGGACCTAGGGAAGACAAAAATAGCCCAAATGACCTGTGGCAGTGGGGTCGGAACTAGACGATCTTTAAGGTCCCTTCCAACCCAAGCATTCTATGATTCATGTGTCAGGACACAGCACTGCAGGACAGGGAAGTTGTTCAAGAATTAAATTGGCACCAAATAAAACATGAATCAAGTACCAAAAGCATGCTGCAAGGAGAGAAAGGATACATTTTCCAGTGGAGCAGAGGTGGGAGCTGTGGTGCTCACTCCCAAACAGCCCCTGGAGCCAGGATGCTGCCCATGTGCTTCAGGTACTTGGGGCAGGTTGGCACCTACAGACCCTGCAGCACAGGGCTGCTCGGCTTCCTTGGCCAGAATCTCTGCCATAGGGACAGTGCATTTTGCCCTAGTTTAAAAGAAAAGCCCATTCTGCCTCCAGCTGTGGGGCATGGGCTCTGCTGTGGATGCATGCACAGCTCCCAGTTTGAATCTCTCATTTCAGAAACATACCTTGGCTGAGGAGGTGGAGTGATGCTCTGATGAGGGCCAATGCTGCAAGAGCAGCTCTGTGGTGAGCTGTCCACACCACCGCTTTATAAGCGCGCTGCGATCATCATTATTCAGCACCAGCACAAGCCACTCCCTGGTCCTCGATGTGTTGTTTTCTTGGCAGGCCAGTCAGCTGCCTTAGATCTGCAGCTGGTACGAAGCTGGAGATGGGCTGCAACTTGGCTGCTCACCCAGGCAAACAAAGGCACCCCATGTGTCTGGGTGTCGCTCCACAGCTGCAGAGCTGTGTGCAGAGCCATGCAGCTGCCCTTGAGAGACTCAGACCTGTAGGGGAAGGGGACAGCAGCAGCAGCTCCTGTCCTGTTCCCTCTGGTCCCAGAAGCAGCCATCACCATGCTTGAAGGGGGAACATGCAACCTCCTCTGCCATGGGCTATTTGAGCCCTGGAGACCCTCCAGGTCACTGCAGCATCCTCATCCCTATTACAGTCACTCACACGAGTACATGGGGAGGGTTAAGTAGTGGGGGTCATCTGCTCATCTGATTTGTCCTCCAGACTTTAAAATCTCATTACAGGGAAAGATGTGGTGCAATTAGTTCTGTGCTGACCTGGCAGTTTTTCCAACAGGTGCCCAGCAAATTACTTTGACAGCAGAGCAGCCATCTGTGAAGGCAGCTGGTCCCAAGAGTTATGCAAGGAGAGCCAAGTAACAGCCAGGATGCTCTCTGTGTTTAATTACATCTTCTTTTAATCTGATCTCTTTTGATACTTTCTTCCTAGGTGTGTTTTTACATGCTGCACCTCATGCCTTACACATGCACACACACACTCTTGAGTCCCTGGCTGCCCAAATACCCCCCCAAAAAGCAACAGATAGCTAAGTCTTGTCCCTTTCCAGGGTGTAAGGGACACGCTGCTAAGGTGTGCTCTGAAACATGGCTGTGGCAGAGGTCCTCCCAGCACCTCAATGGCCATAATGGCTGAGTGTGGCTTATCCAAAGCAGATGCAGACCCAGCAGTGCCAGCTGGGGATGAAGAGCTCAGGAAAGCACCACGACCCTACCAGCAGCACATGGTGTGGGGCAGGGGAACACCCAGGGTCTCTCTCTCACTGCACACAGCTCCCTCAGTGGTTTGGCACAGCATGTCCCTGGTGGGGTTGCTCTGGCTGCCCATGTCAAAGTCAGACCCTCTGCAAGCCCCCTATTCATCTGTACCGGTTGTGATACAAGCAGGTTAGCAATTAGAAGAACCTGACCTAAACAGTATGACAGCTGCTGTATCATGGTGCACTGCAGAGGTGGGATATCCCACACACAGACCAGCAAGCTCAGTTTTAATCCTGAAGTTGGCTGCCTGCATCCTGCAGAGCAATGGGAGGAGAAAGCACTGCAGAATGGCCAGCCATGGCTGGGCACTGCAGTTTTGGCTCCCAGCACCTTGTGGCCAAAGTCACTCCAGAGCAGTGAGGCATTCACCCCAGCTGTGCTCCATGAAACACACTGCAGGAGTGTGCATTCACCTGGGATATGGTCAGGGGGCAGTGAGGAGCCATCAAGAGCTGACGCTCCTTGAAGCAAGTCTATGTCTTGGCAGGAGACACAGGGCTCCCACCTCCACCCAAAGTCAGCACCTTCAGAAACCCAGAGGCTGCCGCACGTGGAGCCCCACTCCAGTGGCTGCTGCCAGCCAAAGGGCATCCCATGGATGCTGAGGCACTGCATGCCTTGATGTACAGATGACAAGACCTGACAGCTGAAACTGCTGCTGGCTGCTGGGACCTGTCTCCATGCAAGTGCTGGCTGCGCCTTCCCCAGGGGCACATTTCTGGGCTCTGCCTGACCACAGAGGGAAGCACCCAGGTATGTGCTGCTCCTGTGTTGGAATGGAGCAGGCTTGGGCTGCTGCAGCTGAGTCCCTGCCCAGGGCCACCAGGACCCTCCTGTCATCACACCTCCAGCACCCACCAGCACCGCTTACCCACACAGACCCAGGCCCTGCTCCATGCCCTGTCAGTCTTTACCCCATAGCAGGACTCTGCTCATGAGCCTGTCCACCTTCAGTGCACACAAGTGCAAGGGTTTGGGGAAAAGCATAACATTATAATCACACCTAATTGTGGGGCGGGGAGAAGTCATCTCTACCTGGTAAGCAGTTCATACCCTGGAGCAGAGGAGGGGAGGCACATCAAAGGGCAGGAAGCTGTAACGAGGTTGGGAGGACAGGAAAGAGGAGAGCTGGGGGGTAAAACCGGGCAAAGAGGGGGGGCACCAGACACGCTCTGAGCGCTTCATGCAAGAATGAAGCCTGCCCCACATTTCTGGGTGATGAGGAAGCTGAAAGCTGGGTGTATGGGGTGCGTGTCCAGTGCAGGGAGTGTGGAGATCTGCAGGGGTTGGAGGACAAGACAGCATTGCCTGCGTGGGTGCAGATGGGGTGTATGGGCAGTGTGCATGCATGGGGAGACAGAAGTGGATGCAAAGCATACCCCACACTGGGGTGAGATGGCAGGAGCTTTACGGTATGTCCCGGCATGGGCAGGTGAGGCAGCCCACTGTGTGGGGCACATACAGGCTGTGCATGGGGTGAGGCAGCACTGGGCACATGCTGGGCATGGGGTGAGGCAGCACTGCGTTCGGGGCATGTATGCATAGGCTACACTGGCCAGGGGTTTCTTGTGTTACAAAGTTGTGTATTTCAGAGACAAGGCTTGTCTGGCTCTGGGAAGAGGAGGCAACAGCGCTGCGTGCTGCCAGCAAAGAACACTCCCTTGTCAGAATAAAATGGAGCTGCCGATAAAATCCAGGCCTGGGACCCATGAAGTCCTACCTGCAGCCAACCTGACTTAGTGCAGAAGTGAGATGGTCCCATTGTGCACCCTAGGCCACCCTGAAATCAGCTCCTGGTACCTATGTAACAGAGGTTTACCTGGCCGGGTCTGGTGGGGACCCAGCTCCCCAGGGAAAGGCTGTCTTATCACGCTATATCCCCATGCTGGTTTTCTCCTCCTCTAAAGGAAATGGGGTTTTGGGTTGGCCAGACAAGTTGCGACACGTATATAGAAACAAAAATGAACTTGCAGGAGAAAAGGCAGAGAAAGGGAAGGCAGGTGGGAATTTTCCTAGGAGTGGCAGAAAGTGCTTTGAAATCTGTTTATGCAAAATGGTGTAAAATTACAAATCACAGTTATGACAGTAAAGGAAGTAAACAGGCTCTGAAAGCATGAACTGGCCTCTGAGATATGGGAACTCAATCCAAGGCAAGTGCACAGATGTGATTCACATATATACAATTATTGAATAGCTCTTCACCATGGAAATTATGCAATTAGGTAGTCAAAACACAAGAAACCAAAGAGATTTAAGCAGCTGGAAAACTAAAAAAAGATACTACATTTAAGGGACAAGCCCTATCGTGGCAGGACAAGCAGTGGCTCTCCTGGGCTCTCAGGAAGGATCCCTGAACTGCTCGGCACTGCTGCCAAGGTCCGAGTCCCTGGAGAGAGAAGCCAGAGGGATCCTTATTCTTCTGAAAGCAGAAAAAACAAAATAGAGAGAAGGAAAACAAGAACAAAGGGGGATAAAAGCGACAGCAGGCAGGTCTCTGCAGACGGGGCTACACTGCAGGGTTGGACTGGTGATGCTTTGGCCCTGCAGCATCTCACCCCTGCAGATGTGCTCAACATAAAAAGCAAAGTCCAAGCAGTGCACCTAATTCTGACTTTTCAGTATGTCCCAGAAGTGCCTCACATTGAGCAGCCATTTGCTGCTAAATAACATTAAAAAATGTTTGTTGTTGCAGTTTGCTGCTAGGTTATCACAGCACATGCCAGGTACCGCATAGGGAGGGCAACGGCCGGGAAGCACATACAGAAGGGGGCAGAGTAGGACTTCTCCAGTGGATGTGGGAGCAGATCCCAAGCTCTGATCCCAGGGCCCTGGTATGTGAATGCCTGCTCAGGTTTAAGTGGTGGGGTGCTACATGGCCCTGGCTGCTGTAGCTCAGCCACAGCTCAGCTCAGGGTGCTGCTCCCCCTCTGCCAAGCCGAGCCTACACAGGCATCCCGGTGCTTACTGCCAGGCTCTGCACCCCGCTTCTTGGAGGATCGCTCCTACATTCCCCCATGGATTCACAATGCTTTTTTCAGGACTCCTTATGCAGCCCCCAGCATACTGAAATATAATTTAAAAGCTTTAAAAAATGTCATTAAATATACTTACAGAGTGCGTCTGCAAAGGGACTTTGTTTTCCCCAAGGCAGCGATCTGTTCACAGCACCATCAGCTCTGTCTAAGAGATGCCCAAGTAAGGCTGTTTAAAGCCCACAGCCCTATTTTCTGCAGCTAAATGCTATTTCAGCACCTTCATTCAGGAATGCATTACTTCAGTTACACGATTATATTTTCTATGACCTGCATACAACCTACATCTTCCTTGTGACACAGATTTACAGTGTGTGGGTAACCGCAGCTCCGCTCACAGGAGGAGAGAAAAGACTCTATTGCGTTAAGAAATACAGTTAAGAAATCTCCTGCAGATGATGCTGTCCTGCCACCCAAGTAAGGAGCCCATCAGCAGGGACAGGGACTCTCCTGCTGCGGGAGCACTTTGGAGCCGGCTTCAAGTCAGCTATTTGCAACATCTACCAGGAGTGCAGGAATCATGTACAGTGTTTGGGGTAGCCTCAAACCCTCAGATATCCTCTGGTCTTACACACCTCAAGATTGTTCTATATATATTTATGTATGCATCTGGAAGACCTAAGGGTGGCACTTTAGCCCTGATGGACTCCTCCACCAGCCAGGACAGCATTTTCAAATCCTGTCTCTGAGCCACCCAGTCTCTCCCCACAGTCAGAGGAGAATTCTAAGAATCACCTTTCTGAAAGAGCAAGTCGCATCTCACAGCCTGCAGAGCGCAAAGACACTGGCATATGTGTTTGGTTTTGCCCATGAATAGCTGGACTGAGGCCAGTGAGTCCAAGCACACATGCCTTGCATTGCAACACAGGCCTAAGTGTTTGCTAGACTGAGCTTTACATTATACAGAAAATAAGTAACAGATTTGGTGGTCAGTGCTCTGACTTTGCTTTAATATAGTTACGGTCTGAAATAGCACAGAGATAGCATTCATAGTGAGTTTCACTTATTGATAAAGGTGTGCAGGGAGAGGATGAGGCTGGGACTTAGTGCAGGGGCTGAGAGTATGTGAAGATGAAGAGGAGGAGAGGTGCTTTGTATACGTGCACATGGTGCCGTGGCAA